GACTGGGGAGGGAGCACACTGGGTAGACCCAACCCTGCCAGGAATTGCCCGTGTAATTGCAGTTGAATTATTCTTTCTATGTTTCGGTTTTCCACAGGAAATTGTATTTCTTTTTACACTTAGAACTGTAGATCTTTATGCTGTGGGTCACTTCCCACTACTTTTTGTGCAGAATCCAGTGCAATGGGACTAATTTTGACAAGATTATTGAATTATCTTGATCTCACTATCAAATATTTTTATTAAGCTTAATTTCATCCTGATTGTCCTATATAAGGGCTTCTTGCTGATGCTTAGACCCTTCTGTTACTTGTAGATCTTTATCAGAGAACATTTTTCATGGATTCAATTCCTTTTACTGGAATATAAATTCTACAGTGAAAACTGAAGGATATTACTCCAGACTATTTGTGGGTGGCCAGAGTTGGGGAACCAACAGTTGGGGAAGCAACAAGAACCACTCAGGTGTCTACTGGACTCCCTCTCATTACACAGGCAGCAGAAGGGACAACTGGAGAAGAGAACAATAGTATTCCCAAGCGCAGCCACATAAATCCTTTAAATCATCCCTGCTTTTCCGACATCTAAGGCTCCTCTTCCCAGCAAACATCACCAAGCTTCTTCGCAGCTCTCCAGCAACCAGGTGCTGAAGACCACCCCACGTTTGAAATTCTCAGGGGAAAGCCACTAGGATTGAAATGCAGAGAGTTGTTAGGAGCTTTCCTTTAAGGATTTCCTAATCCCTACCCTTTCTTTGCTCCATTTTCCTTTCCTCTGCTTTACCACTCCCTTCTCCCTCATAGTTTGCACACAGAACTCATACATGCCTAAGGCTTCCTTTCGTAAATCTGTCCTGTTTCCCTCACTCAGACCTCCCCGCTTTGACTCTAATTTCTTTACTCCCAGCCCCATGGACCATCCCACCACATGAGAAATGCTCTTTCACATTCCTGACGCTCTCCTGTTCCACCAGCAGCCGCGTGAACGAAATTTCAATCTCACGGTCCAAGTAGAAGCACCATAGCTCCAAAGGCTTCAAAGGGAGCTTGTGGCTTCTATGCCAGCATTTTTTGTGGTAGTCCCTCACTGCTAGTTAGGTCTGGTATCAGCCTTAACCAACCATGCCACTTCACTTTCCAAAGCCAGCCCGTAATTAAAAGAAGGCCAATAGACTCTCAGTGATGATGCAATGATGTGTTCTCAGGTGCTCTCCTAGGCACGAGGCCAAAAGCTAAGTTACCATTTATGCAATTTGAAATGAAAGGCATAAAATTAGGCACTGACTAGAATTTCTCATTGCAATTCTTAACCGTTTTGACTTTGCTTTTCCAACAGTCAGCAGGTTTTTCTTCTGAGAAGTCCTTTCAAAAAATAAATTAGATGGTTACTTACCATGGCTATCAGTTGACTCAAATGACAGGACATTGCACTTACAAGACCTTTCGTGTTCCTCACTCCTCCTTTTCTATTTCCCAATTAGGCCAGATTCTACTGCCTTTATTCATACTATTGCATTATTTCATAGCTCACACCAGTTGATTTCAGTAGTGACTCCCAGGATAAATTACAGTTTCCATGTGCCAAGATGACCTGAAGTCCTTGCCGAGGGCTGTTTCAGGCCTTTGTCATGACTTTCCTATCCTGTTTCATCCTCCACAAAGCCAGGACTTTCTCACAGCTCGTCACCTGGTTCCCCCAGAACGGGTAGACAAATACCTTCCTGTGTTTACTGTGCTTAATGGGAGACCATTAACTGTGTCACTAACATGGCGTGTATCGACCATCGCTCTTATGAACTCAGCAACCCCACCACGTACCTATCAGTAAAAAGGTATTTGTTGTCCTGCTTTATATGTGACAGTGGTTGTGTGGGCCAATGCCTCACTGAAACAGGCATTGTGTTAACATTTCCCATATTTGGGGGATAAAACACACGCTTTTAAGAATGGGTACCAACAACTGAAATGAGAATTCTGAACGTTTATAAGCATTTAAAAGTATGAACCTTTAAGAGTCATGAGAACATCATGTGCTTATCCTATTTCCCTTCAATGAAAATCCAGCCAATCACCTTTGAGTGCTGTGAAATCCTCACTGGAGCTGGTGCACAAGGTAGAGCTTAGTTATGGAGCCCCTTGTAAATCAGTGGGAATCTTTGTAAATACAAATCACAGAGCAAAATCAATTGTTTTCTAATAATTGCTCAGGAAGAATATCAAGAGCACAAAGTCAAATTCCAAAAAAAATAGGGAATGCCAGAGTTAAGATGATCATGACCTAGTCTGGAAAGGACAAGCTGCTACACTTGATGCTGCGTAGCCTCAGGGGAATGTGCAGTAACTGGTTACCCCAGTGCCCTACAAAATCTACTCCCAGGCTTTCCACATTTGATATTAATAGGAGTTATAAACAGGCACAGAACCATAACACGAGATTAGCTGTTGTTATATCTGTTTCAGAGATAAACTATCTGACAACCAGTGAAACTGAAATGGAAACCAAGCCTCTAGAGCTGCATTGGCAGGAACACTGCAGCAGGATACTGGAGAACAGAGTGCTCACAATGGGTAACCAGATAAGGGCAGAGCCAAGTTCTATCCTGTTCCACTGCTGTCCTCAAGTGAAGCAGCAGAACAATCAAAAGTGAAGTCCTGCTACTGTTGTCATGTCTCCGCTGTGGTCCCTTGAGGACACAGAATTCCCACCTCTCACCTCTTACCAGCAGCAAAAAGCTGTGGAATCATAGGATCATTTGGGTCGGAAGGGACCCTTAAAGGTCACCTAATCCAACCGCCCTGCCACGGGCAGGGACATCTTCAACGAGATAAGGTTGCTCAGAGCCACACCCTGCCTGTCCTTGAATGTTTCCAGGGATGGGGCATCCATCATCATGGCTAGGCTTCCACCACCTTTCCATAGAACAGATACAGTCTAAGGCTGCAGATAAACAAGCAATTGCACTTCTTGAAGTTGCTGTTGCCTCCTAAATTGTTGTTTCTGGCCCTGTGGTGTTGCTTTTGGAGTTTGAAAGATTCGGAGTAGGCCCTGGTCAGCTTTAGGACAAATTATTTAGGCTAAAGAATTTACCTGGTTGTCTGCAGTCAACTGGTCTTGACTGAGTGGGAGCTTTGTTACAAATCTCTCTGCTGGCTGAATTCCAGTGGCAGCTCCTCTCCAGCTCTAAGATGTTGATGAGCACCTTGGGGCAGCAGGAGACTTTAAACTTGATCAGATGAAGCAGAAGATGCAACGAGCACATGAATAGGAGACTTTGCCAACCTTTGAAAAGGCTGGAACACGATTTGGTTGCTTGCTAAGAAGAGAGCAGGCTGTCTTGCAAAGGTGGAGCATTTGCAATTGGGAAGGACTGGATATCTCACTTGTAGGTCACCAGGTGATGAGCTCTCAGAGCCTTCTACCTGTGGGTCACCAGCTGAATTCAGCCCAGCACCAAAATTATGGCCAGGAATTTTAATTATACGTTTGCTTCACATTGGGTTGAACGCTTTTCAGGCATTATTTCTCATGTGTGTGTCTGATATCTGGCACAATCAGGCCTTATCTTAGTTGGCTTCCTTAATCAAAGTTTCTGGATTAGTAGTCTACCGGAATTTGGGGTTGAACATAAATTGTTAACGTTAGTAAAAATCACATTCAGTTTTTTTCAGCACTACTTTAAGCCAAGCTGAGGATCCACATTTTCTATCATATGCACAGTAAAAAGTCAAGGAGAATAAAATCCCCACATTTACCCATAATTTGCAATGCTATTTTTTCCCCAAAAGCCTTTATCGCCGAGCAAGAAGGAAGAGAATTTCTGTTACGGTATTTGAAAGCAGGTTTCATGAATGTTTCTCAGTCTGACAGTGATACTGGTTCCTCCCAAACAACTCAGCCTGAAACAGACAACTCATAATGTTAAAGTTCAGGACAGTTACAGTTGACTGGAAAAGGGACTCAGAATGGAAATTGTTGTGCAACTGCTACCTTATGACTCGCTGCCAGATCTGAAGACAATATTAAAAGCAGCCATTTTCTTCTGATTGATCTTGTACTCTCTTATCCTTCTGCAGAATGACAATGGTAACCTCTAAACGACAGCACTGCTTGGAGTTTTCTCATTTCTTTTTGCACAGAAATAAACACGTTGTATTCAAAGGCACAAAATTCTTGGAATTCACAGCACTTGGTGAAACTGAAGGTGATCAAACAAGCACTGGCTTAATAAATTCTGATATGCACATATATTCCAACAGGGAATACTCTGTGTTTTACTTTGGTGAAAGCAGAGTCCCGGCACACTTAATGCTCCCCTGTTTTCTCATCCAAATCTCTTCTGCCATATCAAATAGGTCACTGTGTGGAAATCACAGCCATGTTTTAAGTAGATTGTGTTAACTTTATGAATGCGTCATAAAATGGGAACTCCATAACTCCGTATTGACACTGTTTTACTGTTGCAATTTACCATTCTAATGGCACTATTTAGGAAACAATGACTGAACTGCAATGAGATAATTAAGGAATAATCTCCATTACTTCAAAGTATACAAAGCAGTAAACAGCTGCCAAAAGTGATTAATAGCTGAGGTGAAGTTAAGACATCTAATCAATCTAATAAACCATTTATTGCAAGAATATAGCGGCTTACACTAAATGTGAGACATTTATCTTATTGATACAAACTGCAGTATTTGCCTTTCTTTAGGATGTAATATCACGAGACCTTGATTATTCTTCCATTAAAGTCAAGGATAAAACTCCCATTGTGATCCCAGGGTCAAGCCTTCACTGAGCTGATACCAATGAAAATAAATGCTTCCTTTTAATGTAGAACAGTTCTGCTAAAACATTTTTTTCCCCCTATTATAAAACATCCTGTGGCATTGAAAGGGGGATATGTTTTACTGGCAAGGACAAATGTCAGGAGTCATGATGAAAACCTGGATCTTCTTCTAGCTGAAAACCTGGATCTTCTTCTAGCTGGTACTGTAATTCCCTGCAAAGTATTGTTTTGTCTGTGCCTCCACCTCGGATCTGTGAAAGGGGGATGAAACCATTCCTTGTTCCACAGGATTATTCGGGATTTAGTTCATGTAGCATACAAAGAAACACAGATAGAAGATACTGTACACACTTCACAGTGTTCCTAAAGTAAAAACAGAAAGGATACATGGATTGTAACAGCTATCTCATAACTGGCACAGGAATGGGAGTAGTGGGGGTGGAGAGGCTGAACCCATGCTCGGGGGAAGGGACCTGTTTCCAATGTTACAGCAGTGCTGCCAGTACAGCTGAGCTTCCTCAGTTTCCATTTGGCTTCCCGATGCCCTGCAAGAGCGTGGACTTTCTACAGCTCCAAGTGTGTCATCAGTATCTTGCTTTTCTGCTCTCCACTTTAGTCTGGAGGGGTGAGGGAGCTGCATTGCAGCAGCAAAGGGACAAGCACAGGCAGAGACAGCCCCTTCTGGCACATTCTCCCACCCTACTTCCCCCCCAGACAGCAGTTCCCCCTCTAATCTGAAGTAAGCACCCAATTCCTTCATCAGCTGAACATACACAGTGAGCTGTTTGACTGGAATTTTATAAGATGAGTTGCAGAAACAATCTTACCAACATTAAAATCACACATACCACATTGGCTCAAGGTGAACATCGCATTTGTCAAGCCTTGCAAAACGTGCTTTTCATCAGACAAGACGTTTCTATCTCCTCATCCCTGCATAGAAAAGAGGCACTGGAGCACATGTTCTCCCACCACATGTTATAATTGCTCTTCCCCTCAGAAGAACTGGAAGATGTTCTTAGTGCTGGATGACTCTTGAACTTGCTCTGAAGCAATTCCTTTGTCTTAGTGCTAGCAGGAAGCTCCTTTGGTTTTCCCCAAATATAAATATTGATACAGAAACTCATACCAAATAATAACAGAGGTATGAATTTATTGTTTCAGCAAAAGCTCCCATGCAAATTAACCCTCAGATAATTAAAGATGCCTGCAGTGCCTGGGCGGGTAAAAGATCAAGCACTTGCTGGATTACAACATAAAGCAGTGCTGTGATAAAGCTGCATAATAACTCAGGAGCAGGAGCTCCCAGCCTTCACAGGTAGCAGGGCTAATTCCATCAGCCAACATGTACCAACTCCTGTTCATCTGTGCCCGATCCAACCTGCAAGGGACGGTTTGGAGCAGCAAGACTCTTGTCTGGAGGAGCCAAAGCCAAACAGCAGGTTGAAACTTGTACAACTGGATGCAATGCAAGCAGTGGCATCGCACTCGCTCCCTGTGCAAGTGTTTGTCATAGGAGTAGAACGGGCAAACCTAAAATACAAGTCCCAGAAACCTGCAATACTGGTATCTCTGCCTGTACTGATGTTTAGGGAGTGTTAGTTTTGGAGAGAGAAAGCGCAGGTAGATTTTGAATCACTTTTTCTACACTGAAAAAAAAACACATCAATTTGAAGACTCACAGCAAAATGTTTAAATGTGTTAACTGTGGGAATGTAACAAGGCCCCAGAGATTTAAGTCATTTTCCCCAGGAACTGGCTGTGGACTGCTGCTGAGCAGAAATTCCTCAAGGCTGGGCCTGTAGTCTTCCTTCACGGTAAAGCACTGCAACAAGAACAGCTGCTTAAATTGCTGGGATTAAGCAAAGTGGTCATTTTTGCAACCCTGTTTGGCAGTTGAAATGAATCACAGAATCACAGAATGGCCTGGGTTGGAAGGGACCTTAAAGACCACCTAGTTCCAACTTCCCTGCTATGGGCAGGGACACCTTCCACTAGACAAGGTTGCTCCAAGCCCCATCCAGCCTGGCCTTGATCACTTCCAGGGATGGAGAGCCAATGCCATGGGTTTGCTACTGTTAAGTAAAACTGTTCTGACATACATTTATGAGGGTTTTTTTAAATGCACATGGGCAGTAGCTTTCCCTTCTTTAGGGCAAAAAGAAGATAGTCGTAACCAACATTACTAAAATTCACGTTGCCTGGTTCTATGCCAGTAACGGAAGGATTTTCCCCATTTAGGTAATTAAATTTAAAACTACATTTGTCCTTTTCGTAGCAAGGTTGCAATAGAGGTTTGTATATGCATTAGAATTCATTTTTTCTAGGAGAGAAAGGAGGTTGCAATTCCTTATTTATGTTAAATATGCCACCATGTTTTCTCAAAGGTTTTCTCTTGGTTTTACACCATGACAGGCCCACAAAAGAGCCATCATTTGGAGTGGGCTCTGGGTTATGGCAGGTACTGAGGAGGGTGGGAGCAGGGCAAGCACACCTCAGTTTATCTCCTCATGGACCAGCAAACAGCAGCGCTGGGAATTCCTGGAGAGCCAGACATGCCTTTTAGGAAAAAGACAGAGAGTACTTGCTCTGGGAGAAGCAGCCAAGCCTGTACCTTCTCAGTACCAGAGAGACATGGAATTCCTGGAATGAGTTCAGTGGAGGCTACAAAATTAAGAGACTGGAGTATCTCTTGTACAAGGAAAGGCTGAGGGAGCTGGGCCTGTTCAGCCTTGAGAAGAGATGGCTGAGAGGAGACATCATCAATATCTATCAGTATCTGCAAGGAATGTGTCAGAGAATGGACCAGGCCCTGCTTGGTGGTGCCCAGCAGTAGGACAAGAAGCAATAGGCAGACACTGATGCACAGGAAATTCCACCAGAACATGAGGAAGAACTTCTTTACTGTGCTGTGACCCCACACTGGAACAGACTGTCCAGAGAGGTTGTGGAGTCTCCCTTACCGGAGACATTCCAGAACCATCTGGACACAATCCTGTGTCGTGTACTCTGGGATGACGCTGCTTGAGGATTGAGGTTGGTCCAAGTGACCCTCTGTGTCCCTTCCAACCTGACCCATTCTGTGATTTGAGCTACACGCTTGCCTCTGAAAAACACACCTCATGGCCACCTGTAAAAAAACACCTCACTCCCCACATCTCCTAAACAGATGATTTATACCTGGTCCCGATGGGTACAGTATAAACATGTTAACATTTATTAACATCAAATAAGCGTGAACATTTGTTAATATTTATTAACAAAAACATTAACATTTGGGTCCAGAGAAGGGCAACGGAGCTGGGGAAGGGTCTGGAGCACCAGGAGCTGCTGAGGGAGCTGGGGGGGCTCAGCCTGGAGAAGAAGAGGCTCAGGGGAGACCTTGTTGCTCTCTACAACCCCCTGAGAGGAGGTTGTAGCCAGGTGGGGGTCGGTCTCTTCTCCCCGGTAAAAAGTGACAGGATGAGAGGAAGCGGGCTCAGAGAAGGTTTAGGTTGGACACTTGGAAGAATTTCTTCCCCGAAAGGGTGACTGGACATCAGAACGGGCTGCCCAGCGAGGCGGTGGAGTCCCATCCCAGGAGGGCGCTTAAGGAAAGTCCGGACGTGGCACTGAGCTGACACGGTGGCGCTGAGCCCCAGGTCGGACCCGACGCTCCCGCAGCTCTTCCCCAACCGAAACAACCCCGCGATTCCCCGATTTATCTTTTCCCGCGCACCCTGGGGCGGGAAATGGCGGCCGGGCCGAGCCCGGCCCAGCCCGGCCCGGCCCACCCCGGCCCACCCCGCGCCCTCACGGCCCCAAGCACCGCCCGCCCCCCGGGCACTCCCCTCCCCTTTGTACCGCCGTGTCCCCTCCCCCGGGCCCGCCCCGTTGTTTACCGCGCTCCGCGGGCGCTGCCGCTCCCGCCCCTCGCTCGGGACCCGGCGCGGGGCGGGCCGGGCGCGCTCACGGGGCTCCGGGCGCGGCGGCGGCGGAGAAGGAGGAGGAGGAGGCGGCGGCGGCGGGTTGTGGCGCAGCGCGGGAGCGGCTCGGCCCCTTTCCCCTCCCTTCCTCCCCTCGCGCCGCGCTTCCCTCCTCGCCCGCCACCGGGAGAACGGGGGGAGGAGGAGGAGGAAGAGGAGGAGGAGGAGGGGGCGGCCCGGCTAGCGGCGGGAGGAAGGGGGGCGCGGGGATGAGATAAGCGCGGGGGCGGGCGGCCGGGGGGGGGTGATGTAGGGGCGGCTCAGGTGGATGCGGGGGGCGGCGTGAGGCCGCGGGGGGAGGCGCGGAGCGGAGCGCAGGGACGGGGGCTCTTCCCCCGCCTCGGGAGGCGGCGGCGGAGGGGGCTCGGAGGGGAGGGGGGGGTGGGGTGGGGAAGCGCTCGGAGGGGCTTCCCGGAAGGGTGAATTGGGATTAATCCCGGTATTGGGTTTTTTTTTTTTATTATTATTATTATTTTTCTTTTTTAAGGGGGGGGGTTGCGCTGCTTCCCCCCCCTCGCCGCCGCGGAGAATTGGCGCCGGGAGGAGGAGGAGGAGG